GTGTAAACTGTTGTATCTCCCTGTATCCATCATGGTATAAACTGTTGTATCTTCCTGTCTCCATCATGGTATAAACTGTTGTATCTCCCTGTCTCCATCATGGTGTAAACTGTTGTATCTCCCTGTCTCCATGATGGTATAAACTGTTGTATCTCCCTGTCTCCATGGTGTAAACTGTTGTATCTCCCTGCCTCCATCATGGTGTAAACTGTTGTATCTCCTTGTCTCCATCATTGTATAAACTGTTGTATCTCCCTGTCTCCATCATTGTGTAAACTGTTGTATCTCCCTGTCTCCATCATGGTATAAACTGTTGTATCTCCCTGTCTCCATGGTGTAAACTGTTGTATCTCCCTGTCTCCATCATGGTATAAACTGTTGTATCTCCCTGTCTCCATCATGGTATAAACTGTTGTATCTCCCTGTCTCCATTATGGTGTAAACTGTTGTATCTCCCTGTCTCCATCATGGTGTAAACTGTTGTATCTCCCTGTCTCCATGGTGTAAACTGTTGTATCTCCCTGCCTCCATCATGGTGTAAACTGTTGTATCTCCCTGTCTCCATCATGGTGTAAACTGTTGTATCTCCCTGTCTCCATCATTGGATACACTGTTGTATCTCCCTGTCTCCATCATGGTGTAAACTGTTGTATTTCCCTGTCTCCATCATGGTATAAACTGTTGTATCTCCCTGTCTCCATCATGGTATAAACTGTTGTATCTCCCTGTCTCCATGGTGTAAACTGTTGTATCTCCCTGTCTCCATTATGGTGTAAACTGTTGTATCTCCCTGTCTCCATCATGTGTAAACTGTTGTATCTCCCTGTCTCCATCATTGTATACACTGTTGTATCTCCCTGTCTCCATCATTGTGTAAACTGTTGTATCTCCCTGTCTCCATCATGGTATAAACTGTTGTATCTCCCTGTCTCCATCATGGTATAAACTGTTGTATCTCCCTGTCTCCCTGTCTCCATCATGGTGTAAACTGTTGTATCTCCCTGTCTCCATGATGGTAAAACCCTGTTGTATCTCCCATGTCTCCATGGTGTAAACTGTTGTATCTCCCTGTCTCCATCATGGTGTAAACTGTTGTATCTCCCTGTCTCCATCATTGTATAAACTGTTGTATCTCCCTGTCTCCATCATTGTGTAAACTGTTGTATCTCCCTGTCTCCATCATTGTGTAAACTGTTGTATCTCCTGTCTCCATCATTAAACTGTTGTAAACTGTTGTATCTCCCTGTCTCCATCATGGAATAAACTGTTGTATCTCCCTGTATCCATCATGGTATAAACTGTTGTATCTTCCTGTCTCCATCATGGTGTAAACTGTTGTATCTCCCTGTCTCCATCATGGTGTATAAACTGTTGTATCTCCCTGTTGTATCCCCTGTCTCCATGGTGTAAACTGTTGTATCTCCCTGTCTCCCCTGTATCCATCATGGTGTAAACTGTTGTATCTCCCTGTTTCCATCATTGTCCATCTCCCCTGTCTCCATCATGTAAAACTGTTGTATCTCCCTGTCTCCATCATGGTGTATAAACTGTTGTATCTCCTGTCTGTCTCCATCTCCATCATGGTGTAAACTGTTGTAAACTGTTGTATCTCCTGTTGTCCATCATGGTGTAAACTGTTGTATCTCCCTGTCTCCATCATGGTATAAACTGTTGTATCTCCCTGTGTCCATCATGGTGTGTAAACTGTTGTATCTCCCTGTCTCCATCATGGTGTAAACTGTTGTATCTCCCTGTCTCCATCATGGTATAAACTGTTGTATCTCCCTGTCTCCATGGTGTAAACTGTTGTATCTCCCTGTCTCCATCATGGTGTAAACTGTTGTATCTCCCTGTCTCCATCATTGTATAAACTGTTGTATCTCCCTGTCTCCATCATTGTGTAAACTGTTGTATCTCCCTGTCTCCATCATGGTATAAACTGTTGTATCTCCCTGTCTCCATCATGGTATAAACTGTTGTATCTCCCTGTCTCCATCATTGATGTAAACTGTTGTATCTCCCTGTATCCATCATGGTATAAACTGTTGTATCTTCCTGTCTCCATCATGGTATAAACTGTTGTATCTCCCTGTCTCCATCATGGTGTAAACTGTTGTATCTCCCTGTCTCCATGATGGTGTAAACTGTTGTATCTCTCCTGTATCTCCATGGTGTATAAACTGTTGTATCTCCCTGTCTCCATCATGCTGTAAACTGTTGTATCTCCCTGTCTCCATCATTGTATAAACTGTTGTATCTCCCTGTCTCCATCATTGTGTAAACTGTTGTATCTCCCTGTCTCCATCATTGTGTAAACTGTTGTATCTCCCTGTCTCCATCATTGTGTAAACTGTTGTATCTCCCTGTCTCCATCATGGAATAAACTGTTGTATCTCCCTGTCTCCATCATGGTATAAACTGTTGTATCTCCCTGTCTCTGTCTCCATCATGGTATAAACTGTTGTATCTCCCTGTCTCCATCATGGTGTAAACTGTGTTGTATCTCCCTGTTTCCATCATGGTGTCTCCATCATTGTGTAAACTGTTGTATAAACTGTTGTATCTCCTGTATCCATCATGGTCTCCATCATGGTGTAAACTGTTGTATCTCCTGCCTCCATCATGGTGTAAACCGTTGTATCTCCCTGTTTCCATCATTGTATAAACTGTTGTATCTCCCTGTCTCCATCATTGTGTAAACTGTTGTATCTCCCTGTGTCCATCATGGTGTAAACTGTTGTATTTCCCTGTCTCCATCATGGTATAAACTGTTGTATCTCCCTGTGTCCATCATGGTGTAAACTGTTGTATTTCCCTGTCTCCATCATGGTATAAACTGTAAAACTGTTGTATCTCCCTGTCTCCATCATGGTATAAAATGTTGTATCTCCCTGTCTCCATGGTGTAAACTGTTGTATCTCCCTGTCTCCATTATGGTGTAAACTGTTGTATCTCCCTGTCTCTATGGTGTAAACTGTTGTATCTCCCTGTCTCCATCATTGTATAAACTGTTGTATGTCCCTGTCTCCATCATTGTGTAAACTGTTGTATCTCCCTGTATCCATCATGGTATAAACTGTTGTATCTTCCTGTCTCCATCATGGTATAAACTGTTGTATCTCCCTGTCTCCATCATGGTGTAAACTGTTGTATCTCCCTGTCTCCATGATGGTATAAACTGTTGTATCTCCCTGTCTCCATGGTGTAAACTGTTGTATCTCCCTGCCTCCATCATGGTGTAAACTGTTGTATCTCCTTGTCTCCATCATTGTATAAACTGTTGTATCTCCCTGTCTCCATCATTGTGTAAACTGTTGTATCTCCCTGTCTCCATCATGGTATAAACTGTTGTATCTCCCTGTCTCCATCATGGTATAAACTGTTGTATCTCCCTGTCTCCATTATGGTGTAAACTGTTGTATCTCCCTGTCTCCATCATGGTGTAAACTGTTGTATCTCCCTGTCTCCATGGTGTAAACTGTTGTATCTCCCTGCCTCCATCATGGTGTAAACTGTTGTATCTCCCTGTCTCCATCATGGTGTAAACTGTTGTATCTCCCTGTCTCCATCATTGGATACACTGTTGTATCTCCCTGTCTCCATCATTGTGTAAACTGTTGTATCTCCCTGTGTCCATGGTGTAAACTGTTGTATCTCCCTGCCTCCATCATGGTGTAAACTGTTGTATCTCCCTGCCTCCATCATGGTGTAAACTGTTGTATCTCCCTGTCTCCATCATGGTGTAAACTGTTGTATCTCCCTGTCTCCATCATGGTGTAAACTGTTGTATCTCCCTGTCTCCATCATGGTGTAAACTGTTGTATCTCCTTGTCTCCATGTTACCAGTGTTGATGACAGCCAACAGCTGTGAGTCTTGGTGAGAGTGATCTTGCCTTCTTGATATATTTCCTGTCTGGCTGGTGTATCACTTCCTTCTTGGTTACAGTCATGACGGAATACATCCAACACTCACGCCAACAAATACATACAACAACTAGATAGCATAGCTAACAATAAGAGATGTAAGTCAGATAGTAGGAGACGCACAGGAAAGTTTACTGAACTGTAATAAAGCACACTTGTAAGTCAATGAAAATACCAGATCTGTACAGTGAACCGTAATATACACTTGTAAGTAAAGTCAGTACTAACTGTATGACACTCATACAAGTCAAGTCAATGAATGAAACCCTGTATGGTGTTCAAATCAATATATACTACCAATCAAAAGTTTAGACTCTCTTAAAGCACTCACTATATATTATGCCTGTGCAAATATCGTGCATGTGAATAGCTGCATTTTGGTGTAAAGTTTTGTTAAGAAATCACCAATTTTCACATTTTAAACTTGCATTCATGAGAGACATTGTTGATTCCAAGCTCATGATTGAGAGAAATATCTGATATCTTAGAAAAACGAGATACTGGAGATGTTACTACCATAATGAAGCAACACTGGGGAATAAAGTTATATTATCGTACACATGAATATTTCATACATTTATGTGCAAAACAACAAAGAAATGAAACTAAACCGTGTGTTAGATGTTTCTGCTATCTCTGTTGTTGAGAAATACCATCAATGTTACATCAGTCCCTGTCAGATTTTGTTTTCCTTTTTTGTCAGAACCCTTTCTGAAGAATAAATCATCACACCTATATATTTTTGGGGGGCTGTTGGTTGCCATTAGAACCTTGATTTTAGGCCAGGAAATGAGAATCCATTTGGCCATAGGACTAGCAAATCATGTATTTATCGAGATCTGCTCTGAGGCTGATATTGGGTGCTAAGTTCAAAGCATCTGTCAGAAAAATTCCCAAAATGAAATTATCAACTTCACAACTCATGTGAACATGGTTATGATCTGAGTGGTGACTTGGCTGTGGTGACTTGCGTATCACAGGACCAGCCACGAGGATGAGTCTCTAGCATCCTGGTTTGGTGACAGTTTTAGCAGTGTTACAGCACCGCTCTGACGTGTTCTGTGTGACTGTTTCAGATGCTGTACCGAGTGAAGCCGTTTTACGAGTGTTGTCTCAGCTTTCTTGGCTTCTCCCAAGGAGGAACAGAAACACATGGAAGAATTGACCATAGAAAATGGTAGGTTGAACATCTCGGAAAGTATGGATACTGTGAACTTAAAGATTAAGAACACATGATGTACTAAAACAATGGCTATTGTCAAGTCGGTCAGGTCAGTGATGGCCGACTGTCATCCATTAGAAGATAAATGGGGAAACTTGGTCATGATGTTTATGATTGCATACATTGCGTTTTATGTTGTTTTTTAATGTATATTGAGAGTTAACATACACTGAACACTACACAATGTTACATTTTTCAATAATGGAGAGTTTTGATGGACAGGAAGTTGTATGTGACATGGGTGTTGATCAACAGATGTATGACTCTGGATTTCATGCAGTGAGGTGTTGGCGTGGTGCTGTGGTTTTGAAGTCGGTGAACAGTAGCAGGTGAATTGATGTGGTTTGGGTTTGTTCAAACACAGTACACTTGTTGGCATGGACCATAGATTTGGAAGGCAGTGAACAGTTGTAGGCGTGGCGCTGTGGTTCGGAAGAGAGTGAACAGTTGTAGGCATGGATCAGATTAGGAAGGCAATGAACAGTTGTAGGCATGGATCATAGATTTGGAAGAGAGTGAACAGTTGTAGGCATGGATCATAGATTTGGAAGGCAGTGAACAGTTGTAGGCGTGGATCAGATTAGGAAGGCAATGAACAGTTGTAGGCATGGGTCATAGATTTGGAAGAGAGTGAACAGTTGTAGGTATGGACCATAGATAAGGAAGGCAGTGAACAGTTGTTGACGTGGATCATAGATTTGGAGGGCAGTGAACAGTTGTTGACGTGGATCATAGATTAGGAAGGCAGTGAACAGTTGTTGACGTGGATCATAGATTTGGAAGGCAGTGAACAGTTGTTGATGTGGATCATAGATTTGGAAGGCAGTGAACAGTTGTTGATGTGGATCATAGATTAGGAAGGCAGTGAACAGTTGTTGACGTGGATCATAGATTAGGAAGGCAGTGAACAGTTGTAGGCGTGACACTGGATTCTCATATAAGGAAGGCATGATTCTATATTTCCTCTACATATCAACTTGTGATTTCTGTTCATTGAATCTGATGTATTATATGATTGAAAAATGATAGTATTGATGGACTTGAACTTTAACATGAAGCAAATATTCTAACTCATACGTGTTCCGTTTGTCTGTACCCAAATCTTTCTGTCCCCTTCATCTGAACTCTATTGATAATATCTGCATTGTGGGAAGGTACTTGTCAGGTGCAGAATATAGCAACCTCTGATTCAGGTCACCTGACCAACCCATTGATTCATCTGTGACCCAGATGTTTTTATCACAGCTTGAAACAGCTATAAAAAATATGTAATTGTTTAACAAATCAAGAACATTAATTATTTATGTCATGTCATTGCTGTGGCACTTGTGGAAAATGTATGAAATAACAAAACAGGAGATAAGGAACCGACCTACTACCCATACTTCCCATTTCCATATTACCTGAACTAAATGTCTTAACTGAGGCCTGATCACCATTGTATGGCAATACTGTTTAAGTTTTAACGCTGCTGTGTTGTTTGTTGTTTAATGCTGCACTCAGCAGTATTCCAGCTATAAGGCAGCTGTCTATAAATAATCAAGACTTGACCAGACAATCCAGTGATTAGCATCATGTGCATCGGTTAACACAATTGAGATACAATGTCAACAAAGCCAGCAGTATATTTAAGCATTGCAGGTGCTGTCGATGATTTTAACCATCAAACTATGTTTTTTCAGGGGGAACATATGCATCACTGGGCAGTGATGAAGCCACACACCTTGTTGTTGACGACCATGCGGTCAAGGAAGTACCCATGGACATCTCGCTACCCCTACATGTCGTCAGAGGAGAGGTAAGCTGCGCTGTCTGAAGTCATGTTGTTTATCTGCCTTTTATAAAGGTTACAATGGTGAACAGGGGCAGTGAGGTAGCCTAGTGGTTAAAGCGTTTGCTTGTCATGCCGAAGACCCAGGTTCAATTCCCCACATGGGTACAATGTGTGCAGCCCATTTCTGGTGTCCCTTGCCGTGATATTACTGAACTATTGATAAAAGCGGCGATAAGCCATATTCACTCACTAAAGTAGTGACTATATGGTGGCGTGGGGTCCTGTGCACAGAGCTCAGGTCACAAATCAGTTGAAGTTAAGCACCGTTGAGCGCGGAGAGATCTTGGATGGGTGACTGTGTATGACAGCTTGACTATTGAGAGTTTCTAGGACTTAGTCCTGCCCCACAACGAAGCACATGTGATACATGTGGTCTCACCTTAGGCAAGTGAGTTTGTTCAAACTCGCCCCTGTTCATCCAGCAGAAAAATGGGTACCCGGTGGAACAAGTCATGTGACTATAACCTTCTAGCGCCTAACAGACAGTTTGGGTTATCCGGGGTAGTAATGTGGTGTGCTATTCGTTGCTAGCGCTATGAGCATACCTAGTGTGGAGTTTGGCGCTATATTAATGGACACATTTCTTGTCATCAATACACATTCAGGCATTCAGAATACTTCATTGAACTGAATTAAACTCCCCCCTGTTAATCTCATTGGCTGGATCATCATGGTGGTGTCTCTGTACATTATCCTGTCTCATTAGCTTTGTCATTATATTGTTTTCTTTGTATATTCATCCTACCTGGTGTTATGTAAACATTTATATGTTAACTCTATGCATGTACTTAGCATTCACCTAATGAAGGAGCAAGAAGTAGTTCTCAAACATCGGTACTATAAGGAATAAGAGGAGTTGTTATCCATACAAAATGTCATGTATTCATGTACTTCCAATTTCTAAATGCCAGCCAAACTTCATTACGATAGTGATGAAGTGTTATATCACTGGATTGTCTTGTCCAGACTTGATTATTTACAGACCACTACCATAGACTCAGTACAATGTACAGAGTTACATGCGTTTGACACACTGGAAATTGGTAATTGTGCATTCACATCTCAAACTAGCAAATTCGATTGGCTGGTTGTTTTGGGGTTTAACGCCGCACTCAGCAATATTACAGCTGTATGGCGGCGGTCTGTAAATAATCGTATCTGGACCAAACAGTCAAGTGATCAACAGCACGAGCATTGATCTACGCAGTTGGGATACGATGACATGTGTCAACTAAAGTCAGCGAGTCTGACCACCCGATCCCTTTAGTCGCCTCTTACGACAAGCATGGGTTGCTGAAGGCTCATTCTAACCTGGACCTTCATGGGTTGGCAAACTGGAACTGACTCTAATGTTTCTTGATTTTGTCAGTACCGCATCACGTTTCTTCAAAGTGGTAATGTGACTGTCACCTTGTACTTTGCTCCAATAAGAAGCTGACATCTCATTATAGCTTAAATGTAGTTAGAAGTGGTGTAAAAAGTAAACTCACTCGCTCACTGAACTGTGTGATAACTGTAACTCACTAATATAGAATTGTTAGAACTAAAGCCTTCTGTTATAACTGTGAAACAAACTTTTACTGTGATTGTGCTTATCAGTACCTGATTGTTGTCTGTCTACATGGCACTATGGCCGACCTTGGTCCTGTGTATGGGGACCTCACTCTTCTGGACGGTGTTCCATCGTCCAGTGGTTTAAAGTAGTGGTACACAGAGACATACATCTTAATGATCGCATACTTCTGGGCACAAAAGACACTAAAATATTATAAAGTCATGAGCTCTTTCTGTTTATGCGTTGTAAAGTTTAAACATGTCTATGATAATCTAGATGTCAATCTATGCATTTTTGACAGTTTATGTTTTGAATGTACATGTCATCAATGTATTACTTGTGCCTGTCACAATATAGCAGAAGAAGTGCAGAGATGACTTTCAACTCACTCACTCACTCACTCACTCTTTGTTGCAGTGGTTCTGGGGCTGCATCCAGATGGAGGCGTGTGCTGACGAAGACATCTATACTTTCCACAAGGTAACATTTTAGCCTTTTGCTTTGTCACATCTTGATACCTATGTGATTACATACCCCTTGTCCCTTAAACTTCAGCAAATGACAACATTTAAATCACTATTTTGTTTATCATAGAGCTTCCTTGTTTTCATTTCATGGATGGTGTTTAAATCTGAATAAGTTATTAGTATATTTCCTTTGTTAAAACAACTGAACCATATGGGGTTGAAATTGTTTGTTTTCGGACAAGAATGTAATTCCTTCCACTTGTGTATGACATTAATAGAAATGTCCCCACTTTATACATGTTAATATATGCTGTTTCCTGAAACACAGTTGAATTTTGGTGCCAACGCTATTATTTTTAAGTGGTATGAATAAAATAAGCCTTTAGATACCATTGTTTTTTCCCAGCACCGATGGACATTGGTCATTCTGATAGAGAAAGTTGACATGATGGAAATCCTACCTACCTGCCCTAAATTATAAAGAAGTGTAATCAGAACCACAACATTATTTTTATTTGGCCTTATAGCATATACTTGTCATGCTGAAGACCTGAAGTAATCTCCCATTTCTGGTGTCCCAGGCAGTGATATTGCTGGTATATTTTATAAAAGTGGTGTAAAACCAAACTCTCTCATTCACTATATCATTCCTTTGTACAGATGCAGTATATTTATGAATGCTGGATGGAGCTACAACAAACAAAATATATAAGTTCCAAATTGCTGTAACAACATTACAGCTACATGATCTACATGAAGGCGATTAGGTGCCTGACTCTGAGGGTGTGGGTTCGAATCCCGGATGGGAATCAACCTTACAAAAGTACTAGAATCTGTACTTTACTGAGAAAGTGTAATATCATGGAATAATAATTCATACAAAATTCATTATTCATTATTACCACTACAAGCAATATATTAGGATTCAGATATTAGGAAAATATAAATATAGAATATTAGTGTCATTATGATCAGTAATAGCTTAGATAAAGACTCCAGTCAAAAGTAATAAAACTCATATCATAGTAGTGTTGGGAATCGGAAACCAAATCCACTATCGATTATCGGAGGATTGTGGTGAACGATTATCAATTACAATCGAAATATATACATTTTAATGTAATCACCAATTTTAAGGGTTTTCCCCAGTGTCTTTCTAATTAATGTTGTTGTGTTTTATAACTAATGCTGTCATGCAATGAAATGCATGCATGCAAGAAAGACACTGGAATTGTAATTTAGCAATAAAAGTGGTTGATATTTTACAATGTGCATAGCTTTATGCTGTTGAGCGCATGTTTGTTTTGTGAATATTCGTCAAATTTGATGGTTAGTTTACTTCATTCATGTTATACAAAAACAACAAAATTCTGAATAATCGAAAATATGTTTTTTACAATCGATAATCATTTGTAATCCTTCTTTCGATCGATTTTCGATTATTTTCAATCATCGGAACATCACTATCTCATAGACGTACTATTGAAAAAGGTATAAGTTCACGACTATTGATAAAAGGTCTAGTATAGAGTTATCATCTGTATTGTTTCTGTCATGTTTCAATATAGACACTCACACTGTTGGTCTAAGTAGCTATCATCTATGTTGCTCTGTCATGTTTTGCTCTGTCATGTTGGTCTCTAATGTATCATCTGTATTGCTCTGTCATGTTAATATAGACAGTTATCACTGTTGGTCTAGAAGCTAGAGGTATCATCTGTACTGTATGTTTCAATATCTTATCACACTGTTGCTCTGTCATGTTTCAATATATAGATCACACTGTTATCACACTGTTGGTCTAGAAGCTAGTTTTCACACTGTTGTATCATCATCTATATTTGCTCTGTCATGTTTCAATATAGACAGTTATCACACTGTTGGTCTAGAAGCTAGAGTGTATCATCTGTATTGCTCTGTCATGTTTCAATATAGACAGTTATCACACTGTTGGTCTAGAATCTAGAGTGTATCATCATCTATGCTGCTCTGTCATGTTTCAATATAGACAGTTATCACACTGTTGGTCTAGAAGCTAGAGTGTATCATCTGTATTGCTCTGTCATGTTTCAATATAGACAGTTATCACACTGTTGGTCTAGAATCTAGAGTGTATCATCTATGCTGCTCTGTCATGTTTCAATATAGACAGTTATCACACTGTTGGTCTAGAAGCTAGAGTGTATCATCTGTATTGCTCTGTCATGTTTCAATATAGACAGTTATCACACTGTTGGTCTAGAAGCTAGAGTGTATCATCTGTATTGCTCTGTCATGTTTCAATATAGACAGTTATCACACTGTTGGTCTAGAAGCTAGAGTGTATCATCTATGTTGCTCTGTCATGTTTCAATATAGACAGTTATCACACTGTTGGTCTAGAAGCTAGAGTGTATCATCTGTATTGCTCTGTCATGTTTCAATATAGACAGTTATCACACTGTTGGTCTAGAAGCTAGAGTGTATCATCTGTATTGCTCTGTCATGTTTCAATATAGACAGTTATCACACTGTTGGTCTAGAAGCTAGAGTATATCATCTGTATTGCTCTGTCATGTTTCAATATAGACAGTTATCACACTGTTGGTCTAGAAGCTAGAGTGTATCATCTGTATTGCTCTGTCATGTTTCAATATAGACAGTTATCACACTGTTGGTCTAGAAGCTAGAGTGTATCATCTGTATTGCTCTGTCATGTTTCAATATAGACAGTTATCACACTGTTGGTCTAGAAGCTAGAGTGTATCATCTGTATTGCTCTGTCATGTTTCAATATAGACATTTTCACACTGTTGGTCTAGAATCTAGAGTGTATCATCTACAGTTATCACATAGACAGTTATCACACTGTTGGTCTAGAAGCTAGAGTGTATCATCTGTATTGCTCTGTCATGTTTCAATATAGACAGTTTTCACACTGTTGGTCTAGAATCTAGAGTGTATCATCTATGCTGCTCTGTCATGTTTCAATATAGACAGTTATCACACTGTTGGTCTAGAAGCTAGAGTGTATCATCTGTATTGCTCTGTCATGTTTCAATATAGACAGTTATCACACTGTTGGTCTAGAAGCTAGAGTGTATCATCTATGCTGCTCTGTCATGTTTCAATATAGACAGTTATCACACTGTTGGTCTAGAATCTAGAGTGCTATCATCTGTATCAATCTGTCATGTTTCAATACACTGTTGGTCTAGACAGTTATCATGTTTCACTGTTGGTCTAGAAGCTAGAGTGTATCATCTATATTGCTCTGTCATGTTTCAATATAGACAGTTATCACACTGTTGGTCTAGAAGCTAGAGTGTATCATCTATGTTATCACACACTGTTGTCTGGAAGCTAGAGTGTATCATCTATGCTGCTCTGTCAGTTTCAATATAGACAGTTATCACACTGTTGGTCTAGAAGCTAGTATCATCTGTATTGCTCTGTCATGTTTCAATATGTTATCACACTGTTGGTCTAGAAGCTAGAGTGTATCATCTATGTTGCTCTGTCATGTTGACAGATATCATACTGTTGGTGTAGTTCTAGAGTGTATCAATATAGACAGTTATCACACTGTTGGTCTAGAAGCTAGAATAATAGACAGTTATCACACTGTTGGTCTAGAAGCTCTGTCTATGTTGTCTGTCATGTTTCAATATAGACAGTTATCACACTGTTGGTCTAGAAGCTAGAGTATATCATCTGTATTGCTCTGTTTCATTATCACACTGTTGGTCTAGAAGCTAATATCATCTGACAGTTTCAATATAGACAGTTACACACTGTTGGTCTAGAAGCTAGAGTGTATCATCTGTATTGCTCTGTCATGTTTCAATATAGACAGTTATCACACTAGACAGTTATCACACTGTTGGTCTAGAAGCTAGAGTGTATCATCTATGTTGCTCTGTCATGTTTCAATATAGACAGTTATCACACTGTTGGTCTAGAAGCTAGAGTGTATCATCTGTATTGCTCTGTCATGTTTCAATATAGACAGTTATCACACTGTTGGTCTAGAAGCTAGAGTGTATCATCTGTATTGCTCTGTTATGTTTCAATATAGACAGTTATCACACTGTTGGTCTAGAAGCTAGAGTGTATCATCTATGTTGCTCTGTCATGTTTCAATATAGACAGATATCATACTGTTGGTGTAGTATCTAGAGTGTATCATCTGTATTGCTCTGTCATGTTTCAATATAGACAGTTATCACACTGTTGGTCTAGATGCTAGAGTGTATCATCTATGTTGCTCTGTCATGTTTTAATATAGACAGTTATCACACTGTTGGTCTAGAAGCTAGAGTGTATCATCTCTGTTGCTCTGTCATGTTTCAATATAGACAGTTATCACACTGTTGGTCTAGAAGCTAGAGTATATCATCTATGTTGCTCTGTCATGTTTCAATATAGACAGTTATCACACTGTTGGTCTAGAAGCTAGAGTATATCATCTGTATTGCTCTGTCATGTTTCAATATAGACAGTTATCACACTGTTGGTCTAGAAGCTAGAGTATATCATCTGTATTTCTCTGTCATGTTTCAATATAGACAGTTATCACACTGTTGGTCTAGAAGCTAGAGTGTATCATCTATGTTGCTCTGTCATGTTTCAATATAGACAGTTTTCACTGAACACTGTTGGTCTAGAAGCTAGAGTGTATCATCTATGTTGCTCTGTCATCTTCCAACACAGACAATCTTCATTAACACTGTCGGTTGAGACAGTGGAGAATCTGCTCCCTGTGGCCAGAGCTCAGTTGGTGGTCAACCACAGATGGACAAGACCAAAGATCAAAACAGTCTGATTGTGACCACATTGTTTAGTATGCCCATCCCCATTATTTACAATAACTGTTTCATGTTTACAACAAAACAAGGTGACAAATTCTTGCATGAGTACCTTGAACATGTCTGCCCTCTGGTTTTCTATGTCTGATGATTCTAAATGAAGGTTCACAAGATCACAGCCTTTTGGTTACTACTTACAGATACTCTTGTTTGATCTAACTGTAGGTTGTTTTAATTGTAAACAAGATCAATTAACCTGGCCACCAACCATGGCTTATTTATCAAAATCAGTGGCCCATAATTGCAATTAGAGAAAAATAATTTTCATAAAGATTTGACCCTGTAAACAAGATGATAACGGTTTTCACAGATTTTTTAACGTTTATCTTTGATGTTGTTTGTTTAATTAATTAATCCTTGTTGTCACTCGTTAACTCTGCGAGTCTTCCATGACTGTAACAGATTGCGTCCAAGCTTGAGTGTCTGACAGCCTAACGAGGTGGTTTGTTGACGGAAGTGGATGGCTGTTACAACAAATCACTTCAGAAAACACCACTTGCCCACAGATTTAGTAAACAGTGGCCACATTAACATAGGTGCCAACATTCATGTTGGTGTAAAGAGGAGATCAGGGATTGTATGGTGTGTGTGTTAGGCTATTGTCCCCCTCCCCACAGTGAGGGCACAAAACCTCCAGGGCTACCAGCTGTGGTCATTCTAACCCCTTGTCTCAAGTCCAACACTTTATCTGTACATAGATCCTTGTCTTGACATTCTGTACATAACCACCCTGGATTACAAGTACTCGAGCAGTGTGTAGTCTGCAGCCATTTGGATACCCGGCCTTTATGAGTGTATATACCACACCTAGTGCTGTTCCCGGTGTATATACCACACTTAGTGCTGTTCCTGGTGTATATACCACTAGTGCTATTCCTTGTGTATATATTATTAGTGCTCATCAATCATGATTCTCCTGGCATGCAGTCCCTGTGTCTATTTCAACCAGGTAAATATTCTTGTTGCCGATACTGAGCATCTTTTATTAGAATTCATCTTGTTTACTTGACAGTTATCTGCATCTAAACTTATTTATATGACTCTTTGACAGTATCTCAACCTGACATAGATGCTGTGTCAACGAAGTCTGAGTTGAAATTGACATGGATATCAGTGTCTCTTATTCAATGTCTTTCTTTAAGTCCTCTATTTTGTATGATGTCTTTCAGTGGCATTTAGAAGTTGTACATTGATGTCCAAGATATTTTTATGGATTAAACTTCTTTTTAATTTCTCTCATGACGTTTCGAGACCATTCCAGGTCCCCTCATCAGGTGAACTGATGAAGGGACCTGGAATGGTCTCGAAATGTCGTGAGAGAAATTAAAAAGAAGTTTAATCCATAAAAATATCTTGGACTCTATTTTGTAGTTGTAAATGGCATGTTATCGGAATTCGAATCAGTGTGTGGCAAAAGTGCTTGCCTGATAGTCCGTGGTTACTCACTGTTCATTCTGGCGAGTGAAAGTGAAACCTAGGTAGTGTGACTGACATGCTTAATTTTCTATCTAGTTACCTGTAATATTGAACCTGAATCCCCAAAGTCAGAGGGAAATGTTCACTTAAGAATAAGACTAATTTCTGAAAACAATAATATGGCTTCTTATGCAGCTGTCATTAAGTAGTGGAAAAATATACAACATTTCATGAAGGGTATCCAAAAACATCATATTGTCAACATAAGTATCTCACGTTTGAATTGGTCATCACTCTGCCCAGGGAATATCAGTTAACTCAGATTGAAGCTGAAACTTGAAATAATTTTTCTCTACTTCAGGATATATCCCTGTATTAATTAGTGTGAAATATCTCTGGCTTATTACATGTGAAATGCACTATTAAGGCATTCAATAAGTAGCCCAGCAAGCTCAGGCTTCTGAAAAATTATGTCACACAGTGATTTGAACACTTGTCAAACCCGAATGTGACACATGACAGATTTAAGGGTCCAAAGCTTAGAGTTAAGGGTCTAAGGTTAAGGTTTAAGGCTGTAGCAGAAAATCTAGGGACCCATGACACCTTAATTTCTATCACGGTTTAAAAAAATAATAATATACATCTTCCTGTTTTGATCTGAACAACCTTTTTTTACCACCAGCTGAAAACTAGAACAGGCCTTAGAATTAAGGAAAGTCGTACATGACAAGTGTTGCAAGTGTATGTGATGCGAGTTTCCTATATGAGTTCACATGTGAGATACTTCCTGGTTTTGTAGCTTACTGTAAGGAGATAATTGTGCGAATCTTAAGATTTCCTCTCTGGCAGTTGTTTATTGCAGTCAGTGATTGACACTTGTCAGCAAGTGCAGCTTCTGCACCAGTACACTGTATGGCAGGTGCTTGTCAATCTCTACCTGTCAATCAAGCCACCACCTTGACAGTATCTCGCTGATCTCATCACTGGAGCTGAGAATCTGGGAGTGCTAATTGCTAATTGATTTGGTGAAATCACGTCATTAGCAGGTCCTTGCTATTTGGATTAATGTACTTACTGGATATTTCCCCACCTTGTTTATTGCTTGCTGCCGTGAGTACCATACTGATTGGAGGGAATTGATAAACAAACCCTGCAAGTCATAAATTATTTTGTGGAGTGTCATTGAATAATTTCAATTACATCTTTTTCAGATAGATAGAAAAATATTTTGTTTGATATTTCTAAACTGTGCATTAAGTTCATTAACATATGCAAGCACAGTTGAGCAGTTTATTATTTGGCAGTATATAAATAAAGTTTCATTATGTTTTAAATTTGACTTTATGAATTTGTGGAAAAAACATATATTTATATATATAATAATAATATATTATAATAATAATAATAATTTTTTTGTGTATAGTGCAAATCTAAATTTTGAAAAGTCCCCTTACTTGCTATGTCACATCCTGTCATCGACATACTTCTATTGATGACTCATTTCTGAGAATATGGTGATTTCAGCCACAGTTCTGGGAAGCTATTTCTGTATATGTTCCTAATGAATTGTTTATAGCTGCTTTCCCATGGGAATGCTTCTTGTATTAAGGATAGTTCATGTATGTTTGATGTCACACTTACTGAAACTATGGTTTCCCCACACTCATCCTTTCTCTCCAGTACTGGCAGGCATATGTGTGAAAATTATTGCCACATCTTAGAATGTGTTTTAGGGCATTGGAATCAGTTTTCAAATTGTTCTCTTGAAATTTCCTTTCCTTTTTGCCTTCTTAAATCACAACAGTATCATCTTGAAGTTTAGTTTGACCAAAATGTCATGAATTCTAGTATATAATTTCTGGGTTTTCACATGTTTCTCAGGTCAGATCAGATTTTGTGTTTTTTTGCTTTGAAATATAAGCATCCATGATCTCTTCTGCGCCACAATATGCCTGTCAATTTTAGCTGGCTTCAACTCCTCCTAAACCTGAATACTTTGTTTATGGATTTCTTAGTAACATTGCAGGAAGTAAAATTAGAGATTAAATTGTTTAATTTGCATTAGCGGTTAATTCCCTTAAGAATGCTTGTTTTGAAGATAAAACCACAAATGCAATCTTGAGCTGTTTAAACTCAGGATTTTTCCATTCACACTATTAATTATTGAATTGTCTATATTTGTACTCTTTACAAAAGGTGTATAAAATTATCTTTAGAGCATGAAAGAAATAATTCAGGCCTGTTGCTGGAAATATATTTCCTAAATATAATAGAAGACATGTTGGTAACATACCAATTTTACCACTTAAAAATGGTATGAAGATATTTTTTATTTATTGCAATTATTTTCACGTATGCAATGGTAAAAAGTTAACTGTTATATTATACATTTTAAAAAGTAATCCACGGTGACTTCAGATTATTTATGTCGTATACTTTTCTTGTTTTTATTATGTAGGTTATCATTACTTACATTCTCCCACCTACCAATATCTACCAACATGTCTGACTGGTGATAGCATCAGTAGTTGATCTGTAATACCATGATCAGATTGTCTGGAGCATGTCTGAAGTCTGTCCTGTAAATGTCTGTGGAGGCAAGTGCTGCTTTATGGCCATGTAGACTGTGTATATCGTCAGTGACACCGGAGTCGGTGGGGCGTGGAGAGTATTACTTAGGAGCCCCCTAGCCTGGAGGCAGATCAGCAGGACCATTAGTTCTACACAGTGGAAGCTGGGTGATGGTCACACCTGTCCACTGATCTACCTGGAGAGAAACTCACCTGTGTGTAGACTTACCTGTATAGAAACCTACCTGTAGAGGTACTCAGGAAGTGGCTTGTGTGAAGAAGTGTGTTGTTCACCTGTGTTGTTATGAACTGTAGAAATTCCAAAGTGTTACACCTGTAGAGACTTACCTGTTGATGATCCCAGGAAGTTGGATGTGTGAAGAACATATGTACAGTGTAGATATACCTGTATAAGTTCCAAAGAGTTACACCTGTACAGTGTTACCTGTGTAGATCTCACCTGTACAGAAACACTCTTGTATAGACCTGTTGATGGACCCAGGAAGTTGGATTGTGATATTTACACCTGTATGGAAGCTTAAAAAACATTGTGTGAAGAACTGTGTTAAGCTCAGGAGAATTGATATGTGAAGTCCTTCTTCGTCACATTTCTCTGTACTGTATGCCTGCTCCTGTGCGACTGGGAATTCTGATTGTTTTACCTGTGAAATCTGACTTTGACCTATACAGGTGATGGAGGTGTAGTAGTGGGGGTAACATCCACACACCTGTCCAGATACACCTGAGTTTACCTGTGGAAGACACATCATGAGAGTTTACATCGTCAGGTCAATCTCCTATTCGGGAGTTGACTTTGGATCGGCGCTCCCCTAAACATGTACATGAAAACTGATATTAATTTTGATCTTATTCTTTGTCAGTTTTGGAAATATTGTTTAATTCTTTAATCTTTCATTCATAAATAATTGGTCCAATCTTTGTGCTTATGCCATATTGCTTGAATATTGTTTTATGTTGTGTATAACCAGACATAGTAGTTGTAGACTGCCACTAAGACTGGAGGCTTGTATTGCAGACTTTGGCCCACAACAAGCACACGTCCAACAGCAGTTTGGGCGGCACCAAGCTGGGCAAGAGGAAGAGACTGAAGCAGCTAGCCGATGAAGGGGAGGTGGAATTCCTGGCACAGAAGCGCCGTTCCAGTGATTTAGGCGTGTGTCTATGAGCCCCAACTCTTTCCTTGACGCCTCACACACACCTGACAAGTCAGACCTCATATCAGGTACGTTGACATCACTGAGTTTGTCATTCTTAAAAATACCTGAAAAATAGGATTACATCCCTCAAAAGTCAGCATGTTAAGGTGTACATATTTATTTGGGTGCTTGTTTTAATCTCAATCTGTGTTAATTCAGGTCTATGCATTTTGTTGTTCCTGCATGAACTTTCCTGACCGTATTCCAATTGAAATATTCCTATGGTGTAACTGTAGTTTCATTTTAAGTGTATTTTGTGCGACTTAATTTGGTCATGGCATGTTTTATTATGATTTTTGTTGTTTTCAGATCATAGTGCTGTTGAAAATGGTGAGAACCGATTGCTCCAGTCTACGGGTTCCGGCAAACCATCACCACGGCAACAGGTGACGAGGGAACTCTTCCAGACAGAGAGCAACTATGTTGGAATCTTGTCCACAGTCATAAATGTAAGTGCACAGAGTTGTCTCCCCTGCATTAACAGATGCATGCATTAAACTTTGCAATTTTGTAATCTAAAAATATTTCTGAAAATTCAACTGTCAAATGCCTTGAGGACAAAGAGATTTAGTAGAGAATATCCACAACTGTTTGTATTAAAATGATTGTTTATTTTGCTGCATATGATTAACCTCGCCTCCTTTATGCCACAGACGTTCAAGACGCAGATCGAGAAACCTGACCAGTACAACGGCCCTCTGCTGTCACCCCAGGAGATCAAGATCATCTTTGGCAACATCCCTCCAATCTACGATGCTCACTGCAAGATGAGAGCCAGGCTGCAGGAGATTGTAGAGAACTGGACGGAGGACGTGTACGTCGGGGACGTCATCCTGGACTACGTGAGTACACAACTACAGCAGAACCTGTCAAAATAGTTTACAACTACTTCACTTGCTTGTGGTAAACATATAGAGAAGTGTCAATGTTCTTTATATGGGTGGTTTACTGATATTTTATGACTGCTTCATTCAGTGATTATTTCATGATCAATTCTGGTGATGTTGTTCCAGGCTGATGCTCTTACTAAGGCGTACCCACCGTTTGTCAACTTCTTTGAGGACACCAAGCAGACAATCATCAAGTGTGACAAGAGCAACCCTAGGTTCCATGCCTTCCTCAAGGTACGTCTTACAGTGTCCGCCTGGGTATGATGTGTGAAGCCCATTTCTGGTGTCCCCTGCCGTGATATTGCTGGAATATTGCTAAAAGCGGCGTAAAACCCAAGTCACTCACTCACTCAATTCAGTCTCAAGCCTTCATCTACTTACCCCTAGATTCATGCTCATCATGTGAGCTTGCTAAATGGGGATTGGGTGGTCAGGTTCTGTGTCTTTGATGGTTGATCATTCTTTCAGTCACATGTTTGTCTGGTCCAAACAGGATTATTTACAGGCTTCTGTGATACTTCCGGAATATCATTGACTGAACGTTAAACAACTCACTCAAAGCTGAGAATCAGCTGTAACAAAGATTCATCTAGCAGTAGTAAGTAATGTAATAGCTGATGTTGGTTTTGTGTAGTACAGCAAACACCTGTTGTGTTGTAGGTGTGCCTGACGCGGCCGGAGTGTGGCAGACAGACACTGCAGGAGCTGCTCATCAGACCGGTCCAGAGGCTGCCCAGCGTCATCCTCCTTCTCAACGGTAAGTCTCACCACATTACTTGTAGAGGTTGAGGTCTGGTGTGTTGTGGTTGATTTCCGAAGCATAGATTAGAATAACTTTCTCTCCTCGCTTCATGTGTTGATAGGGTGGTGGGGTAGCCTAGAGGTTAAAGTGTAGTTCATCATGGATGCCCCTGCTTTCATTCCCAACATGGGTACAATAAAGGCCCATTTCTGGCATCTATTATTGCAGGGATATTGCTAAAAGCAGTGCAACAGCGTATTCACCCTTGTGTTTGTAATATTCTGAAGTGCCCTGTCTATCAGGTTAGATGGAACATACTGAGTCATTGGTATTAATGGTTTTGCAGATATCATGAAGAACACGAATCCAAGGAGTCCTGACTACAGGAAGTTGGAGGATGCCATTGGTAAAGTGAGAGGAATATTGACGTAAGTGGGGCAAGATCACATGGGATGTAGCACAGTTGTAATATTTGTGTGATTTTGGTTTTTTCACTAATTATAATTTTAAAAAAAACCCAATTTTTTAATATATCTATTCAATGATTTACATGTGATATTAAATTGGTAACAGTAAATAGCGGGCTGTTTTTATATTTAAAATTACTTATGTTAGCATATCGTTTACAGTGTTTATGTTTTTTGTTTGTAGGCATATTAATGAAGACAAGCGGAAGACAGAAAACCAAGTGGCAATGTTTGACATTATGAAGGATATCGACAACTGCCCCGCCACACTCCTCTCCTCTCATCGTAGCTTCGTCGACAAGATCGACGTGCTTGAACTGTCTGACACGCTGTCAGGTCGCAGTGACCCACTCTCTATATTTCTGTTTACAGACAGCATTGAGGTAAGTCTCTTGCTGCAATACAAGTCTCTGTTGTTTGATCAAGTATTGAGTACAATATTACAGCAATATTGTTGTACAGAGTTTAACATAGAATGTTTACAAATTTCTTTTGATAATCACTGGTTTTGAATTCATGAAAGGTAATTGAAAGGTAATCGCATCAATGTTTGGCTGTTTCTTCAAAGATTTTGGTGTCCTTGTATTTAAACATTGTAGCAGCCAACTGCAAGGATGACTTGACCCTACTTGCTTGCGAAACTCACTTTGATTTCTGGTTTAATTGTAATTTTTCTGTGTTTGCAGATCTGTAAAAGAAGAACCAAAGTGCTAAACTCGTCCAAGAGCCCAGCTGTACATAAGACGCCCCAGAAAGCCTACAAACACCTGGAGATGATTCCCCTCACCAGCATCAAACGAGTGCTAGATGTCGATGAGTCCGATGGTAGGTGGAAACATACCGCTAAACGTCTCAAGCTTATATTAATATTGTTTTGTAATTGGTAGAGGGTAGGTTATTAGTCAGATATTATGCATGTCGTTGGAAGTGTGATCATTAGATTATCAGTTGTATTAATGTGGTTTGCAACAGTACAAAACTTGAGGTCATCTCGAAATTGTTTGGACAGAAATGAACCTGAAATGACATTGAAAACTTTCCAAATTAATCAAATTTCTGCTGTCCTCAATATTCATAAGTTGTTAAATATGGCTGAAATATTGCCCATGTGACATCAAATATTTACTTACTAATTTTGTTAAAACTGGTTCAAGGCAGCATGCAAGTGCAAATATACGCCTCATTGTGAATTATGTAAAGTCACAGATTTGAAGTTGAGCTGCTGTTGAGTTAGTGTTTGTTTGTGTTGACAGATTGTCAAGGAGCGTTCGGGCTCATCTGTCGAAATAACAAGGAGTTCAAGGAGAAGCTATACAGCTTCATGTTGGACACGGAAGACGTCTCCAAATCTGAAATCCTCACCTTGATGTGCAAAAGTCTTGCCAACATCCTTTGCCGCACAGATTATGTAAGTCAATGTTAACTAGAGGAGACTCCCAAAGGTTTCTGGATCAGAATAGATTCCCAGCAATATATGCTGGTTGTCAGAAGCAACCTTATACAGGGGCGGATCCAGGAGTTTGGAGAAGGGTGGATGGGGGTGCACATAACTCATGAAGTCCAAAGGTTAGGGGAAATATTTTTCAGAGGAGAAGGTGGGGTGCGCACCCCATCGCCTCCCCTCTGGATCCACCCCTGATATATTATATCTAATGGTTGGTCTTGGTGACTTGGTTGGTTGTGACCGATCGGTGCTCACAGTGACACTGACTGGATTGTCTGGCCCAGACTTGATCAGTTAATAGCTGTAATATTGTTGAGCATGGCTTCAAACAACAGTGAAACACAAGAATGTGGGGCACATTTAGAAGGGAGGTAACTTTCCTAGTTGAACTGGAATGGGGGGTTATGGGGTTGAGTATTGTCTTCTCCATTATGGAACATGATACAATGTAATTGTGATGAACCAAACTTCAATTTAATCTTGTGTTTATGTTTTGATTTTGACCATTTCTAATACTGTTTAAGTCTGTTATAATTATTCAAATATTTTAATTTCCAGGAAAACCTGTTGGCTGTCGTCAAGGGAGACGAACATGGAATAAACACCAAAGATCTAAACAGTCGAATTAGTAAAGCTTTCAAGTAAGTGTGAAGCAATCTAGTAAGCATTTGTATCATTTCCTGCCTGCTTATATATAAGATCACATTGTTGGATTCTTACCATCATATAACCCTGAAACTGTCAAACATTCGGATTTCTAGACATCAAAACTTGTGCCCCAGTTAATTTAATATATCACAATACAATGTCACACTGATAGTTTGTCTCTCTGTAAAAGGGGGGATATTTTTTAACACTCAGTTACTAATTCAATTTCAGGTTTGGAAAGCGTGTCAGTCGAGCGTTTTCATTCAACAAGACACCGAGCAAGTTAAAGCGAGCCATCTCTAGTGTGGCCCATGGTTTTAGCAGTCCTTTTGTACGGGACAGCTATGGGCCGGGCGAGCTGAGTGGGCGGCGTTTAGCAAGCACATTTGATTTAACAGTAAGTGTGATGTCACTGCCTTGACAACTTTCGTTTCTACCATATGTAGATCAGTGCTCATGGTGTCGATCACTGGATTGTTTGGTCCTGAGTCGATTATTTTCAGACCGCTGCTGCCATATAGCTGGAATACTGCTGAGTGCGGCATTAAACTAAAACCAACCACTTTCTACCACTGACAATGGCCATTATCTGTATGTGCAGTGAAAACTACAGTATTACTTTTTCGTCAAAAAAACACTCTCTTTTTTTTTCTTATAATATTGCTATCTTGGTTGTAGTTTGTTGTACTCATTCATGAATGATTTGCTTCAGGAGTCATCGCCGCTGACGACAATGTCTCACATAGACAACAGTGATTCAATAAGTCTGGGAGCATTCTCTCTTCAGGTGAGAAAATATATGTGGAGATTGAGTATAACGAATGACAGTAGGCTGACCAGCTCTAAGATGTAGGTCACAATCTTCTGTCGGATTTACTGGTAGTCTCTGGTCTTCATTTGCCACAGTTATCAGCGAGATCTCTGATGTGCTGTTAAGCAGTAATCACACACATTGGCTTTCATGTGCAGGGACATCTAACCCTAATGGAATAATGTAGAGACCTTGGCTGAAGATGTACAGAGAGTATCATTTAAATTGAATACAATTACAATATCTTTCAAGAAATAAGTAATTCTTCATCTTAGTAGAGCTAGATTCAAGACATGTTTACCTATTGTAAAGACTAGCTGGAATTTCTGAGGCTTGACAGAAGCTTCAGCAGTTTTGTTCGACTGACTGTTGATTAGTTGTCTGACCTAATCTAACATTGTTTAACCGTATTTCAGGAGGAGAGCTCTCCTATACACTTCCCCTCCACACCCTCATCGGAGCGACTGACGAAATATACAACGTTAGGTTCCAGTTCAGCAAAGAAATACCTATAATTAATAACAGGTATGTATTTTGCTTTCATATTGACAACACACCTATTATAAGTAATAAATACATCCATATTTAATGTGCCGTCTGAGGGTAGTGTGGTTGCCAAGTTGTTAAGGTGTTTGCTTGTCATGCTAAATATGGGATTTGATTTTCCACATGAGCACAATGTTTGAAGCCCATTTCTGGTGTCCCTGCAGTGATATTGCTAAAAGCAACATAATACAATACCCACTCACTCTTTTACTATCACCACTGTGTTTGGATCAGTGTTCTCCCTAATGTCATTCTCAACTCCCTAGGGAGTATAATAGTGGTGTGATAATGGTGAGTGGCCCTGTGGTTAATGTGTTCACTTGATATGTAAGTCCTGGTTCACAGTTCTAAAACCAGCTTGCCTGTTATGGCCTCATGTAGAGTTTGGGTTCGAATTGGCCCCCAGCAATAATGTCCATATAAGTCAGCTGTAAAGATCTGGTGGGTAGACATAGTGATTTGGTGGATTGCATGTCATCATAGTCCAATGACATTGATTGTGGCTCATATTATCAATCACTGGATTGTCTGGTCCAGATTTACAAACTGCAGTGATATGGATGTTATACTACTGAGTTAAATGTTAAACGACAAACAAACCAAGAAAAATGTAGAGATAGATGGCAGTGCCAAGTTAAAGGAGATGAATCATCCCTGATCACGTGATAATATGATGTTCCTGTCTAGTACAGCTTTGATGTTGGAGGCTTATTACAGGTCACAGAACATCAAACTGGATTTGAACATTCCTTGTGCAGTCATTCTAACCATTATCCTGTCAAGGGGGGCCATGATGGCAAACATAAACCTCAACTTACACTCTACCAATTTTTTTTAAAAGGAAATCAAAACAGAAGAGGTTAAATGTGGTTTCTTATCAAAGCAAGTTGAAACGACATCAGTGGATGATGCATATTTCTGCACCAACGTGTGACGCTGTGTACACCATCATCACGTCGCACCTGCGTGATGGATGAGCTTGAAGCATGCATTCATACTTCGTCCTGCTTCTGAATCCAACTTGCATCTCAGCAGGGAACATTGCAGCTAAACCTGTTAGTCACAGGTTGGGACTTTGGTCTCTGGAGTGGAACCTGTGACAGCTCAGCATAGCGTTATTGTTCTGATCGATGAGAAAACAAAATTCATTTTCAAAATTACAGATATGTTGTCTGTTCGCTTTGAGGTGTAATATTTCATAAATCACTGACTTGGCTGGACATACAGGCTGCATCATTACGTTCATGTTTTTAGTTTGAAAAAATGAGATTTTTTTTTAACATTGATCGTCCTGAACTGCCCATGGATACGTTGCAAGACATGTTTACTTCTGTGGCTTTAAAGTAGTTATAATCCAGTTTGGGTCTGCATGTTATTTCTATTTTTTTTTTTTTCATATATCTTTTTTTTCATGCATAGATACAATGGCAAGATATGTTCTTGAAGTTTTGGCAACAAACTGTTTTGTCAGAATTTTTATCATAATACTAGGTTTTAAGGTTTCATGATCTTTTTTTTAACTTTAGTAATTCTGATTGATTCATGAGCTCCAAGTTAATTAATGAATTCGTTTCATTAATGTGATCATGTAATTGTATATATATTTAGAAAAAGGAAACTAGAATCATACTAATAACATGAAAATTGAAACATGAGATGGTATTTAAAAATTATATTTTTTTGTACGAAAATTAAAATTGAATTAGTATGCATTGATGGTTTCAAATAAACATTGAAATCAAACGATACATGTTTTAATGTTAATAGATTTCTATGCTTTTGAAAAATCCATTAAATGCACCTTAAGGAAAACCTGCTCTCCCTATTTACATTTGTAGAAATTCTGATGTATGAGATATTGATTTTCATTTAATACTTTGAAGATTCATATCTTTTATGCATAATTCTTTGATCTTAAATGGTATCAGCAAAAAAATCATCAATAGCCTAGTTTTGAGTCATTTCAGATTCAAACGGAATTTCAGATTAAACATTCAATCCTGTGTTCTAGGTTTAGCATTTGAAAAGGCTGGTCTGAGTACAGCTGAAGTATGCTAGTACTAAGAGCAGGGAGCATATATCTGTGCCATGGTCAATTACCCGGTGTCCCAGTGGGAGTTCTGACACCGCTCAATACTGATGAACGTCTAACAGTCATGCAATTAACACATCTATGTCACCAGCCCTCCACAGCTATTACTCTGTCCTCGGGGCTTGGGGGAGACCCTTCTTGATTAAACTGTCGTGCCGTAACGAGCTGACCTGACTTCTGGGCCCAAGTAGGCCACTTCAGAAGAAAATACTGATTTGATTCTGAAATTTAAGAACTCTTGGGGTCCCATTTGCTTGCGGTAATTTCTGTGGCTGGTCAGAAAAGTTGGTCCTTGGCTCATTATGGGAGTATCAACTTGTCATTGTCTTCCTTTGTTGTTGGGTGTTTATGTGTAGAGGAAATGTCATACCAGCATTACGATTGGACAAGGCTGAGCCATCGCTTTGTCCTCCTCTGTGACCATCTCTTGTGTCCACTGCCTGATATTGGTGGAATATTTCTAAAAGCGGCTGAAAACCACACTCACTCTTCTCTCTGACACTGTTTGCATTGAACAAAGTGTCACACCACAAAATATTAATGCAATCATTTATTTGGAATACTTTTTCATTCACTATTGTATTTCCCTTATCAGATTACATATGGTAATTGATATTCATGACTGTATTAAGGCCATTAGTGCCATCAGATGAGACTTAATGTCTTTGGCTCCTCTGTGGGGGTTACATTGGTGTTGGCTGGGTACACAGTTGAGGAGACCGTTGTCTTACTCTGACAGTGTGATTCGGTTGCTAGATCTAGACTGAGACTTGCTTAACTTAATAACAACGTTCTATAGTTTCTCCATCTTTGTTTCAGACAACAAGACCTGTCACAAATTGCAGCATTAATCAAATTACCAGCAGTTCTTTGTGGAGATGTGTCAAGTCAGCAGATGATCTTGTGGAGATGTGTCAAGTCACCGGAAGATCTTGTACTGATGTGTATCAAGTCACCAGAAGATCTTCTGGAGGTGTGTCAAGTCACCAGAAATTCTTGTATTGATGTGTGTCAATTCACCAGAAGATCTTGTACTGATGTGTCAAGTCACCGGAAGATCTTGTACTGATGTGTATCAAGTCACCAGAAGATCTTGTACTATTATGTGTCAAGTCACCAGAAGATCTTGTACTGATGTGTGTCAAATCACCAGAAGACCTTGTACTGATGTGTCAAATCACCAGAAGACCTTGTACTGTGTCAGATCAACAAATCACCGAACAATTAGTCCACTTGGTCATTAGGTCAACATCGATTCCTGGTGCCAGCCTGATACCTTGGTGTATCCAGATTGACGGGAGTTCCTGATGTGATTACCAACAAGGATTACTCTGATCGCAAGATAGACAGACCATCTGAATGAGTTAAATCTGCTTGTGTACTTACAGATATCAAGTGTGGTCCATATCTGGACACTTATCATTTTCCCCCAAATACCAAAATTCATAAATAACCTAATTGGAACATATTATTTCATTGATTGATATATATTTTTAATTTGAGACTTCGAGTCAAAGTAGATTGTACAAACTTAAAAAAATTGATTCTGTGATTGGGTGTCTATTTGAGCTGTCCAAAGTATATATATTTTTGTATGTTGTGTGAGAGTGTAAGAGTGTGTGTGTAAATATTAGCGGAGTGTATTATATGTACAGAGTATGAGATAGTGGCTTGCTGCTATACCCCACAATAGTGCTGCCTACAGGTACATATCCTAGCTACGTCATCACATCTGTCACACTGATCAAACTTGTTGCATAATATCAGTGGATCCTTTCTCATCACCATTATTTATTGTATCGGAATCATTGTATCACATCACTGACTTCTCGGAAAAGTGCCGAGTTGGCAGTTTAGCCAAGGCCGAACCAGTTCACCGACGCACACATCCTTTGTGAATCTAAACAAAACTGTTGACAATTTTGTCAAACCTTTTTGACCATTTTCACATGAAATTGTCCACATTCTGATACTGATCAACGTTCTTGTTTTAATGTTATGTATCAGTCTGTCTTAAATTTAGATGCACATCTGAAACTTGTGAAAATCACACCTTTTCACCCCTTCTTTTCAAACTTATAACATTAAAGTAAACTTAAATAGTATACTACTAAAATAGGTATTACCCTGACAGAGTAACACTACTGAATAGAACAATGCTGGTGGTCCCAAACTTTTAGTGGAATGTGTATATATCATGAACAAATATGAAAGGAATTAACTATATCTTGACCTCGGTGAACTGTTTCATAGTAAGTATGTAGCACCTTGTAACCTGTTAGCTGTGGAGTACTGTAGATATCGACACTGTATATCGGTATCTGTCAAATAGTTTAACCTAGAACACTTGAGTACAGTGATGGTATAATATGTATTATAGCCAGTGTATAATTGTGTTAACACAATGTGTTTGAACATTATATTCTGTAGAACCAGTGTGTACTTGTGTTAACACCAAGTGTATAATCCTCATATCTCCATAGTAACCAGTGTGAGTTACAGAACCACCACTGTTATGATGCTTGGTCCTCTTTAATCAAGCTGACTGGGGGTCCAGGTATGCCTGTATTGTGGTGACCATGGTGCTGTTGGATGGACAGTTGTCATGGAGACCATTTCTCCTGTTCTGTATAGTATACAGAATAAATGTTGAGTTTTACAATCTATTATTTCTTTGTGTTTTCTATTTGGACTATGGGATGGAGACTCGGGTAAGCTGGGTATTTGTGAAAATATGTGGACTTGTCATCACAGCCCCAGTTGATGCCGAATAGCTTGAATACAAATATGCATGTGCAACATGTAGCTTATGGTAAACCACAGACAAACATCACCCCAGGGTCCTCTTCAAACATCTCTTCGAAGCCTGAGATGAGCTTCAGAAAGTTCTCACCTTGCATGATTATGAAGGTAAGTTAAATTGTCAAAAAGTACACTTCAGGCACATTAACCAACGAACGAACAAATTACATAGCAAGACGGCAACAGCTCCTGCCCACACTCGGATACCCAGTGATGAGTGGCCGAATATGGTTTTGCGCCTGTTATAATATACTACTCACACTTTGCTAAGGATCACAAAAATTCCCAACTTTACTGAAACATAGATTTATAATTTGAAATTGTATCCATTTAGGCAAACAGCCACATTAATCTAACCTTATGCACTTGATACGTCAGTAACCGTCAAAATGGTTTTCATGGCACCAATCAACCATTTTGCAAATCATGGAACGAGTCAGTGACAAGTACACAACACCTGTGAATCAGAATAGCAGGTATGGGATCCACAAGATGCAGTGACATACTGAAACCTAGGATCCATGCTTACAATAAGCTTACATATTTAAACCAAATTAGACCCCACATCATAGTTTTCTGTTGAATCAATGGTTTGATCCTTAGCAAAGTGTGAGGTGTCCTCCCATTACGCAGACAGCCAGTTCGCAGACACCTTAAAACAACAACATTTACAGTTCAGTCAACAGATTATCTACTACCTATTACCTACACATTATAATGGAATAGTCCAAATAAAAACACAGGAACATACTGAAGCTATATTGTTTATTTTGAAAGATGGACGAAAAGACAGTAATTTGAATTTTTATTGCTGCAATATAAAAACAGTTTATTTTCATAAACATTTCGGTTTAACCTTCTAGTCTAACGGGAGTCGGCATCATCATATTGAAAACATTATAGCTATTAGAAATTGCGACACTGTTGTATCATATAAATCAAATAAAGACAAATGTGAACCTAAATATTCATATGGAATAAAGAAGTTATATGTTTTGCACACAATATTATTATGTATGTTAAGCGCATTTAATTACGATTTATTTAGAATAAATATTTAAAATATGACGCATCATGTCAATGTGGCCATGGATGTGAGAATGTTTTTCATTACTTCCTTGAATGTCCATTGTATACTACTCAAAGACATAAACTGTTACAATCTTTAGAAAGTTTTGTTGAAATTAGAACACTGATTAATCGTATCTTACATGGCAATGCAGGTGTCTCATTTACTGCAAATCAGAATGTTTTCAAATATGTACATATCTATATCTCTCCAACAAAACGTTTTCTCAGTTAACTTCTGTTGTACATATGCTATTATTGGGAGGGGGTCTTTTCTGTCAATAAACACAATCAAACCTTTAGTAATTGATAGTAAAATCAATTTTGAGAAGAGAAATCATTTATCATTTAATCACAACAAAGTTCTATTTACCCACAATCAAACTTCTCAGTAACGAACCTGTTTCAGGCTCACCCTGCTCTACTCACCAGACAGTGGACTGTTCCATTATACCCGTAGGTGTTACCCTTATTAACATTCTAGTTCAGTGTCTGTCAATTGGGTGTCTGTCAAATGGGTGTCTGTCAAATGGGAGATAACCAAGTGTGAGTTGTACCATGTACCATGTTGGGAATCATGTTTACAGTATAGAACGGTTTAACCACTACAGTAGACCTTGAGGAACGCCATATGCCTTCTTAGTTGACAGATATCATCTGGTGGGTTATCAAGCGAAAAGTACATTCCAGATTTCTAACCTGTCCTTCAGATGTTTGTCTACTTTGTCCTCTTAGCAGGTCTCGTCTTTTGTTGCAGTTTCACGCCAAGCGTCAAATTTGCGAGGTATTTGAAATATCTCCGTCAAATGCTAAAATCAATAAATGTAAAACCGAAAAAAATGCATCGATATGTTGACGGGAAATGAGGGCTTTTCAGAAACTATTCAGCTTGATAAATATGTGGGAGATGTTTTAAATCTTCATTTGAACAGTTTGATGACACTTTGTGAAAAGAAGACATCGGTTTTAAATTATGTTTACATGCATTATAAACAAAACAACGTTTGTAAATTTGAAAACTCATACGTCTTCCGCGCCCTCTTACACATTTCTTCCACCACTGTCCAGACACAAACTCCACCCACAGGCCCTAGTGTCTTTGCGCAGATTAAAGATTAAAACATATTGTTTTTGAGATAACCCCCGACTCAAAATGCACATTGTGACGTCATGGGCACAGTTAACTGTTTATTAGTTTTACCCCGAAACGTTGTATCAAAGAATAAAAGAAGATGAAATCCAGTAAATTCTTTATGTTCATCAAATAACATCTAAAAATCAAGCATTTAACATCTAGAATGCTGAAATAATAATTAATGTTTATCTTGGTGAAAATAGTAACAGGCCTAAGTTATGGAGGAATCTGTACGTCTTGTTTGTGATCTGGCAACGATTAGTTGTCAAATGTGTTTGTTAATCTGACGTTAACCGATTCCCCTGGCACTGAGCTGGGCCACTTTTAGCACGCCAGAATGTAATCTGTCTACAAGAGCCAGCCAACACACAGTTGTATTTAGAAAGGGCTGTCTGAATTACGTCCCTTGAAGATCACGATGAGAATTAACCCACCTTATTTAATACAGGCAGGTGGCAGTTGTATATCAACATTTACTTTCAATTCAAAATATGTTCCCTGACGCTTAAACGCAATTATCATTATTGTTCTTTAAGGAGAAATCAAGTTGATGGGCGATTTGTTGTTTTCTCTCGAGACCATAGATAATCAATAGCTTGCAATCGATGTACAACTGCTTGTTCTCTCAACAGCGGATTTGAAATATCTCCGCCAAATGCTAGAACTGTTCCAAATGTAAAGTGTGAACTGAAGGGTGAAAATCAATAAATGTAAAACAGAAAATAATCATCGATGTGTTGCCGACAAAAGAGGGCTTTTCAGAAACCATTCAGATTGATAAATATGCGGGAGATGTTTTAGATATTCATTTGAACAGTTTGATGGCACTTTGCGAAAAGAAGAAATCGGTTTTAAATTATATATACATGCATTGTAAATAAAAAAAACGTGCACCACACAAAATTACTGTATTACCCAAATTTACTAACGTCAGGAAATACTCGTTTCATCCGGCGGCCATATGAACAACGTTTGAAATCTACGTATCATCTGGCCGTCAGATTTACACACGTTTAAAGGGGTGTTAAAATAAACGAACATTCAACTCTGCATTTACATATATTTCACAGGTGTGTAAATCTGGCCATTGTTTTCATGTGTTTCCTAACATATGTAACATATGTAAATGCTGTGATTGTAGGACATGCATTTCAATACCCTTGAAATCTCGTATGACCAGGGTTAGGTTTGTCATATATTTAGTACATGGTGGTTGGTAATGAGTAAATAGAGTGTTGCATACCTACTTTAACATGTACTTCAATGGTTCTGTAATATAACTGTCACCACTAATTAACCTGAGATAATTAGAAACACATGGTGAAGTTACCCATGACTGAGCACCACTTGACATACACATGATGTCTCTTTAAAAGGTTCAAATATCAGGTCTATAGGCCAGAGCGATATGTATGTTAGGAAGTGTGTGTGTGCGCGCGAGGGAGAGGGTGTGGCATGGGTTAGACACTGCTAATTACAATAAAACACAGACAGATGTGTTCACACAGACATAAACCAGTAGGTCCCTAATTTTAGTGCTCACTTGTATGAGTTATCCGACTGATCATAACTGAACAAATTTCATTATCTATACTTTCATACAAGATGATTACAATGTATTAATGATTCCCGGTGTAAATTACTGTTGTAAATGTGTGAACATGCACATACTTGGTATGACCTCTTTTTGATTTGGAATACAGGTATTATCCCATATCGTTTTCTCAAATTTCAGTTACCCGACGGAATATACTGTAGACCTATTTTGTTTCCATCTCTTGGGTAGACTATAGAAAATTGTAGTGATTGCAATTAGCTTATAATTTTCATAATAGACCTATTTTGTTTCCATCTCTTAGGTAGACTATAGAAAATTGTAGTGATTGCAATTAGCTCATAACTAAGCAGTTTCGATAATTATTGAAAGCTTAATACCTGACAGCAATTATGTCGCTCATGCGGGTTTTTTTGGCTTTTGCTTTTTGCTTTCTAATTTGTTATACATTATATAATTATGTTAATCATTTTGGTATCTCAATATCATGGAATATAATGTGTACTTATTAATCTCTCAAAGTACCGAAACGTATTATCTGTATGCTTTACTGTTATTGGGTGAAACTGTTAAAAGTACTTTCGTACAGAATTTCCAGGAAATAGAAACTGAAAATTACTAGATAAATGGAAAACTAAATTGGATAAAGATCGCAAACAATCATTATTTATTTTCCTCTTTAAATTATCAGTGTGCAGATCAAGTACTAACATAAAAACTGAAGGATTTATGGTGACAAAACTGGGTTCAATCTTGAATGTATAATAAATGTACCAATGTATATTCTTTAACAGTATCAAGGAATGATGGGGTACGCTCGTGGTTAAAGCGTTTGCCTGTCAGGTCAAAAACCGGTGTTTGATTCCCGACATAGGCACATTAAGACTGAAAATATATTATTTTGATAAAAGGCAAAGATCTTAATTTCAATTGAAAAAAAGAGACAACGTAATTTGGAAGATTCACAGACTAACAACATCTATATTGGGGCTACAGGTGCAGGAAGCATCTTCAATTATAAAATCACATTCCACAAACATCAGATAAAGGTTTCAATGACAAACATATTTATTGGTATCTTGCCAAGCTCTGTCCTCTCTCAAT